TCAAATTAGACTAGCAATTTGCCAAAAACGAACAAATCCGAAGTTATCATGAAATCAAAAACCACTTTTCATTAGCTGGATTCGAATCGAATTAGACTTCCAATTCGGCAAAACGAACAAACCCGAAGATATCATGAACTCAAAAGATAATTTTCATTGGCTCGATTCCAAACGATTTAGACTAGCAATTCGCTAAAAACGAACAAACCCGAAGATATCATGAACTCAAAAGATAATTTTCATTGGCTCGATTCCAAACGATTTAGACTAGCAATTCGCTAAAAACGAACAAACCCGAAGATATCATGAACTCAAAAGATAATTTTCATTGGCTCGATTCCAAACGATTTAGACTAGCAATTCGCTAAAAACGAACAAACCCGAAGATATCATGAACTCAAAAGATAATTTTCATTGGCTCGATTCCAAACGATTTAGACTAGCAATTCGCTAAAAACGAACAAACCCGAAGATATCATGAACTCAAAAGATAATTTTCATTGGCTCGATTCCAAACGATTTAGACTAGCAATTCGCTAAAAACGAACAAACCCGAAGATATCATGAACTCAAAAGATAATTTTCATTGGCTCGATTCCAAACGATTTAGACTAGCAATTCGCTAAAAACGAACAAACCCGAAGATATCATGAACTCAAAAGATAATTTTCATTGGCTCGATTCCAAACGATTTAGACTAGCAATTCGCTAAAAACGAACAAACCCGAAGATATCATGAACTCAAAAGATAATTTTCATTGGCTCGATTCCAAACGATTTAGACTAGCAATTCGCTAAAAACGAACAAACCCGAAGATATCATGAACTCAAAAGATAATTTTCATTGGCTCGATTCCAAACGATTTAGACTAGCAATTCGCTAAAAACGAACAAACCCGAAGATATCATGAACTCAAAAGATAATTTTCATTGGCTCGATTCCAAACGATTTAGACTAGCAATTCGCTAAAAACGAACAAACCCGAAGATATCATGAACTCAAAAGATAATTTTCATTGGCTCGATTCCAAACGATTTAGACTAGCAATTCGCTAAAAACGAACAAACCCGAAGATATCATGAACTCAAAAGATAATTTTCATTGGCTCGATTCCAAACGATTTAGACTAGCAATTCGCTAAAAACGAACAAACCCGAAGTTATCATGAAATGAAAAACCACTTTTCTTTGGCTCAATTCCAATCGAATTAGACTAGCAATTCGCCAAAGACGAACAAACCCGAAGTTATCATGAAATAAAAAGCCACTTTTCATTGGCTCGATTCCAATCGAATTGGACTAGAAATTCGCCAAAATTAAACATAACCGAAGCAATTAATAAATCAAAAGACACTTTTCATTGGCTCGATTCCAATCGATTTAGACTAGCAATTCGCCAAAAATGAACAAACCCGAAGTTATCATGAAATCTAAAGCCACTTTTCATTGGCTCGATTCCAATCGAATTGGACTAGCAATTTACTAAAAATGAACCAACCCGAAGTTATCGTGAAATCAAAGACCACTTTTCATTCGCTCGATTCCAATCGAATTAGACGAGCAATTCGCCAAAAATGAACAAACCCGAAGTTATCATGAAATGAAAAACTGCTTTTCTTTGGCTCGATTCCAATCGATTTTAGATTAGCAGTTCGCCAAAAATGAACAAACCCGAAGTTATCATGAAATCAAAAACCACTTTTCTTTGGCTTGATTCCAATCGAATTAGATAGCAATTCGCTAAAAATGAACAAACCCGAAGTTATCATGTAATCAAAAGCCACTTTTCACTTCCTCGATTCCAATCGATTTAGACTAGAAATTCGGCAAAAACGATCAAACCTGAAGTTATCATCAAATGAAAAACCACATTTCATTGGCTCGATTCCAATCGATTTAGACTAGCAATTCACCAATAACGAACAAACCTGAAGTTTTCATGAAATGAAAAACAACTTTTCTTTGGCAAGATTCCAATCGACTTAGACAAGCAATTCGCCAAAATCGAACAAACCCGAAGTTATCATGAAATCAAAAACCACTTTTCATTAGCTCGATTCCAATCGAATAGGACTAGCAATTCGCCAAAAACGAACAAACCCGAAGTTATCATGAAATCAAAAACCACTTTTCATTAGCTGGATTCGAATCAAATTAGACTTCCAATTCGTCAAAATGAAAAAACCCGAAGATATCAGGAAATCAAAAGCTACTTTTCATTGGCTCGGTTCCAATCGAATTAGACTACCAATTCGCCAAAACGAACGAACCTAAAAATATCATGAAACCAAAAGCCACGTTTCATTGTCTCGATTCCAATTGATTCGACTAGCAATTTGCCAAAAACGAACAAACCTGAAGTTATCATGAAATGAAAAACCACCTTTCGTTAGCTCGACTCCAATCAAATTAGACTAGCAATTCGTAAAAAATGAACGAACCCGAAGTTATCATGAAATGAAAAATCACTTTTCTTTGGCTTGATTCCAATTGATTAGACTAGCAATTTGCCAAAAAGGAACAAACCCGAAGTTATCATGAAATGAAAAACCACCTTTCTTTAGCTCAATTCCAATCGAATTAGACCAGCTATTCGTAAAAAATGAACGAACCCGAAGTTATCATGAAATGAAAAACCAGTGTTCTTTGGCTTGATTCCAATCGAATTAGACTAGCAATTAGCTAAAAACGAACAAACCCAAAGTTATCAAGAAATCAAAAACAACTTTTCATTAGCTTGATTCCAATCGATTTGGACTAGCAATTCGCCAAAAATGAACAAACCGGAAGTTATCATGAAATGAATAACCACTGTTCTTTGGCTCGATTCCAATCGAATTAGACTAGCAATTCGCAAAACACAAATAAACCTAAAGTTACAATGAAATCAAAAGCCACTTTTCATTGGCTCGATTCCAATCGAATTGGACTTGCAATTCACCTAAAAAGAACAAACACGAAGTTATCACGAAATGAAAAACCACTTTTCATTGGCTCGATTCCAATCGAATTAGACTAGCAATTCGTAGAAAAGGAACAAACCCGCAGTTATCATGAAATCAAAATCAACTTTTCATTAGCTCTATTCCATTTGATTTATACCAGCAATTCTCCAAAAATGAACAAACCCGAAGTTATCATGAAATGAAAACCACTTTTCTTTGACTCGATTCCAATCGAATTAGACTAGCAATTCGCCAAAACTGAACAAACCCGAAGTTATCATGGAATCAGAAGCCACTTTTCAATGGCTCAATTCCAAACAATTTAGACAAGCAATTCGCCAAAAACGACAAACCCAAAGTTATCATGAAATCAAAAGCCAATTTTCATTGGCTCGATTTCGATCGAATTGGACTTGCAATTTGCTAAAAATGAACCAACCCGAAATTATCATGAAATGAAAAACCACTCTTCATTGGCTTGATTCCAATCGAATTAGACTGGCAATTCGCCAAAACTGAACAAACCCGAAGTTATCATGGAATCAGAAGCCACTTTTCATTGGCTCGATTCCAATCGAATTAGACTGGCAATTCGCCAAAACTGAACAAACCCGAAGTTATCATGAAATCAAAAGCCAATTTTCATTGGCTCGATTTCGATCGAATTGGACTTGCAATTTGCTAAAAATGAACCAACCCGAAATTATCATGAAATGAAAAACCACTGTTCTTTGGCTCGATTCCAATCGAATTAGACTAGTAATTTGCCAAAAACGAACAAATTCAAAGTTATCATGAAATCAAAACCAACTTTTCATTGGCTCGATTCCAATCGAATTGGACTAGCGATTCGCCAAAAATGAACAAACCCGAGGTTATCATGAAATGAAAAACCACTCTTCATTGGCTTGATTCCAATCGAATTAGACTAGCAGTTTGCCAAAAACGAACAAACCCGAAGTTATCATGAAATCAGAAGCCACTTTTCATTGGCTCGATTCCTATCGATTTAGACTAGCAACTCGCCAAAAATGAACAAATCCAAAGTTATCGTGAAATCAAAAGCCACTTTTCATTGGCTCGATTTCAATCGATTTACACTAGTAATTCGCCAAAAATGAACAAACCCGAAGTTATCATGAAATGAAAAACCACTTTTCTTTGCCTCGAATCCAATCGAATTCGACTAGCAATTCACTAAAAATGAATAAACTCGAAGTTTTCATGAAATCATAAGGCACTTTTCATTGGCTCTATTCCAATCAAATTGGACTAGCAATTCGCCAAATACGAACAAACCCGAAGTTATCACAAAATGAAAAATCCCTTTTCATTGGCTCGATTCCAAACGAATTAGACTAGCAGTTCGCCAAAAATGAACAAACTTGAAGTTATCATGAAATGAAAACCACTTTTCATTGGCTCGATTCCAATCGAATTAGACTAGCAATTTGTAAAAAAGGAACAAACCCCCAGTTATCATGAAATGAAAAACAACTTTTCATTAGCTCTATTCCGATTGATTTATACCAGCAATTCTCCAAAAATGAACAAACCCGAAGTTGTCATGAAATGAAAAACCACTTTTCTTTGGCTCGATTCCAATCAAATTAG